GATTTTCCTCGTCGCTCGTGTAATTAAAATAAAAAACTAGAGTAATCATAATGGGAATATGTCCACCATTTAGTCCGCATAAATTGCATAAGCAATTCATTGCTAATAATTATTACATCACATAAAGTTAACATTCTTTTATCTATTTTTCATTCTTAAATTGAAAATTAACTTCTATTAATACTCATTTTCAATTATTATCTTCAATTTTTTACTAGTTTTCATTCAAAGAGATATGAGAAATGCGAGGAATTCCATTGCTATTCGTAATTTCTTTTCTCTTATTAAAATGCGTGATGAAAATCGATTCGTAGTTGAAAAATTGCTGCCAATTAAAGTTATTTCTATTCGTGACCGTTCCTATTTTTTTTCCGTTTTCTTCAGTCAATAAATAATGATCATTGAATCATTACTGATATCATTCTACTAAAAGCTATTTTTTTTTTAATTAATTAAAAAATTAACACAATTATCGATTTACCTCGTCGCTCGTCGTAATTAAAATAAAAAACTAGAGTAATCATAATGGGATTATGACCACCATTTACTCCGCATAAATTGCATAAGCAATTCATTGCTAATAGTTATTACATCACATAAAGTTAACATTATTTTATCTGTTTTTCATTCCTAAATTGAAAATTAACTTCTATTATTAGTCATTTTCAATTATTATCTCCAATTTTTTACTAGTTTTCATTCAAAGAGATATGAGAAATGCGAGGAATTCCATTGCTATTCGTAATTTCTTTTCTCTTATTAAATGCTTGAAGCAAATCGATTCGTAGTTGAAAAATTATTTCTATTCGTGACTGTTTCTATTTTTTTTTCCGTTTTCTTCAGTCAATATCATTTTATCAATATCATTTCATGAGTAAATACAAGGCTTATCTAAATTGTTGATGTGTGAATTAGATTTTGAATGAAACTCGAGTGTAAATAATCAATTTATCAAATATAAATGCATTGATGTCAATCGATATTTGATTTAGTGTTAAGAGAAATTAAATTATAACGTGTTTTATGTAATAAAACTGTCGTGGTTTCTCTCGTGGTTTCAAAAAAAAAAATTGACCCAGTTTCTCATCGATTGGACTCGACTTTCCCCACAACGATTGTATTCTTACGTAATTGATTTATTTGTTATTTTTTGGTGATCATCAGGAATTGAAAGACTGCAAAAGCCAGATGACCGATCTGACGAACCAATGGTATCAGGCGATTCGAATATCCCCGGACCAATCAGACGAGGAACAGCAGGTGAACACGCCTCGCTCCAGCATCTCCAGCATCATCCCCAGCGCAGTTCACTGACAAAAGATGGGAAGTGGTGGAGGAGGCGAGAACGAAAACTCGCCTTTGGTCATGAGGTTCTAAATAGCTAAATTTCACACCAAAAAAAATCAATAAAACACAAAAAAATAACAAAGAAAAAGACAAATATACACACGTTTTCATACGCATCCCCCAAAAATGAATATATTAATATATCCGAGTGTGTATAGAAAACAAAACAATATAAGCTATATACTAATATATATATTTATTTAACTTAGCACAATGATTAAGCATGAGGGTAAATGTTGTTTCCTTTTCGTTTTTAACGCCGACTTGTCGGCTTCAACTAATAATCGTATTATTAATAGTAAAAACAACATATGTACACTATATATATATAGATATATGATATACACTACTGTTTCTACTTAAAAAACGTACATATTTAAAAAAAACGGATTTAAAAGATGGTATTTATTATACATGTATAATGATTTTAATTATAATATCAATTTGTTTTCCGTTGATTCTCTCAAATCGCTGCGAGCCACACAATTATGATAATAATTCGAATTGAAAGTTTATACAGAAATTATATTATTATATTAACCAAAGATTGTAAACGTATGATGAAAATTTGTTAATCGCAACGACAAGAAAATGTTTTAAACAATTGAATTGAAATATTTTTACAGTTGCTTTCTTTTATTTATTTTTAAGCAATTCAACGCAAACTTTGATTGATTCGTTGTAATTTTGCTAATTTAAAGATGAAATTTAAAGTCGAAACGTTGAAAACGTTTCGCCGCAAATAATAATAATTGCGAACATTCGAGTATTCCTTTTTTTTTTAGTTTAATGAACTTGTTATATTATTTAGTGAGATTTATGTACGTCGTTAGGTTTTTTAAAAGAAAAAAATTAACGGGTTGTTTTTTTTTTATATAAGCGAATCAAAACTAAGAGTTTTCTATATTTTTTTACGCGATTTGTGATGGAGGAAGGTCGAAATTGTTAGACGTGTGATAATTAATGAGAGAAGTGAGCGTTGTCCGCAAACAGATCGTAATTGATTGATTTACAGGTCGACGTGGAAATTTTCTATGTTTGGGTTAAATTTAACGTTTCTTTTGCAGCTTCTCCATGTTATTATCACTTATCCTTGTTTCTATAATAAATCGATGATGCGTACATCTTTTTCGTTTAAATTTCCATACAAATTAAATTTATTAATGTAAAGCTGCACCCGCATTGTGCGTTTTATGTGTATTAACAATTGTTTACAAAATGGCTGCTTGCGTCGTCAGCTGATGTAATTAACCAAACAAATTGTATCAGCTGATGTAACGAGGAGCCATATTTAAAATTAACCAATTGAAGTACTGGAATTTGTAAATATGATACAATATAAACTTTGCTTAAATGTATTTATTTTGTAAAGTGATCAGGGGGTAAATATTTGCCGGCTTCGGTGTCGACGATCCAGACCACTTCTCCCTCTGACAGTTCAACCCTGGTGGCCGGTAGATCCTCCTTCTCAACTAGTATTCTCTGAAACGCAAACAACAAGGGAATTGTTGAAACCTGATCTTTTCAGCAAATCTTTTGCGCGCTTACTCTGAGCATCTCCGCTTTGGAGGCTCCGGCCATCGCGAAAACGACGCAACCGGCGTTATTAATGACTGGAAACGTCAGAGTTATCCTTTCCGGTGGTGGTTTAGGGGAATCCCCGATCGGAGCCACCCACGCTTCAGTCTCCTCCAACAATTTGTGACCGGGAAACAAAGAGCAGGTGTGTCCGTCCGGTCCCATCCCGAGCATCAACATATCGAATTTAGGTAAAGAAACTTCACCGAAATGCTTCATCAGTTTCTTCGCATAATCCTCAGCAGCAGCTTCCACTAATTATGAAAAATTATTAAAATTTTTGAAAACGTTACTACAGGCAACCAAATGTACATCTTCATAAAACGCACGTAAACTAATTGATATGCAACTTATAATACTAATAGATAAGTGAAGGTTAACTTATACCGGTAACCCCTTGCATGATCTGCACGAACTGATCGTCATTGAGATTGACCTTTCCTTTCAACTCCTTCTTGTAAGCTCCGAATGTTGAATCCTCGCTGTCGCTGGGTACCATTCTTTCATCGCAAAAGAATACGATCCATTTGCTCAAGTCGCTCTTCACATTTTGCAAGGCGACAGACAAAAACTTGACCAAAGAACCACCTGTGCATTATCGAAATGTAGCAGTGCGTATAAATGTTGCTGTAATCATTACCTGAGACTCCGACTTTGAAAGAACCGTTTTTCGTGATTGCCTCCTCTGATTTGTCGTTGATCAGCTTCGCCAATTCATCGATCAGCTCCGATTCGTTTTTGGTTTTTATTATCATGTTTAAGAGTTCCTCTTCGCAGTCACTGGAGCACTGAGCTGAATTTCACTTTCTCTCAGCTATTGTGGAGCACGGTTAAGTTGTCGAGCGATTAATAAATCTGGGTTAATGTAGATTTATGGTTGAACTCGCGTGTACGTTAAGTGCACTACAGCTAAGACTTCCATCGATTTTGAATTTAATTAAAAGTTTTAATTAGTGCAACTTCACATATATAAAGACTATGTATACTAATTGTATACCATTCCTATTTATTGCTGTAATACGCGGTCAAAGTTGAAAAATTGAAATTAGAACGTTCGAAAAAGCAGTGTTTTCACATTTCATTGATTTTCTCAACGCTCTAAAGTATATCCATATTGCTGTAATACGCGTTCAAAGTTGAAAAATTGAAATTAGAACGTTCGAAAAAGCAGTGTTTGTATTGATTTTGTGAAAAATTGAAATTAGAACGTTCGAAAAAGTAGTGTTTTCACATTTCATTGTTTACTCGAAAACTATAATAGATAGAATGAATCCAAAAGATGCATATGAAAGCTCAATTGAATGGATCGAAAAGATGCACATGAAAGCTGGAGGTTTGAGGAATGTAGGGAGTATTCACTCATTTCTGTGGTTTTATCAAATTGGATGTAATTTGCGTTCAATTTTGAAAAAATGAACGCTCGAAAAAGCAGTCTTTTTACTTTTCATTGGTTTTCTCGAAAACTATAATAGATAGAATGAATCCAAAAGATGCATATGAAAGCTGAATGTTTGGGGAATCTAGCAAGTATTGATATATTACTGTGGTTTTAGCCGTTTGGCTGTAATACATGTTCAAAGTTTAAAAAATGCCCGAAAAAGCAGTGTTTTCACATTTCAATGATTTACACGTAATACGCGTTCCTTTTATGAAATTGAGGGGATTTGGAGGCGCCAAATGATAACATACTTTTTAGGGAGGCGTAGTAACATCAAGTTTGGAAACTACTGCTCTAACCTAACCTTACATTAAGCTAACCCATCCAAATTTTGCTGAAATTTAAAAATAAGAATTATTACAAATGAAATGTTCATTTAATCTTTTTAGGAAATATCAAGTAAGATTGAGAATCAAATCTTAAGATTTTTAATATATAATTTCCAATTTAATCAATGTCAAGTAGGCCCTAAACCATGAATAAAAACAAAGAAGTTATGCGTTTCTTAGCAACACGTTGTTCCATAATATTTTTCGTGTGCGGTTGTTAAGGGGAGCAATTTAATTCCGTTTTGGCAACCTTGAAAGTGGCACCCCTGAGGCTCGTTTCCATTTCGCTCTCAGATCCACGAGCAAATTGCGCGCGAGCGAAAACGAAAGAAAAAAAGAAAAAAATAAATGTTAAATAACAATTGGAATATGCAAGTCCTTGCTAATGTTACATAATCGAGCGGATGATAACGATTTTTTTGTGTCGTCGCAGGATGAAATGAAGGACAGTGCGTTGTTTGGTTGGGGAGCGGGGTAATGGGTTGTGAAGAGAGCGAGGTTTTCGGTATCGACCTCAAACAGGTGGAACTCACGGCAGGATCGCATTAACCCCCCAACCTACAGGACTCCCCTGCTGCCGTTAACCATGTCTACCTACTCTACTCTCCATTGCTGCCGACGACGAACGTTTGCTCCCTAATTTACAACACCTTTCTCCGCATATTTGCCTCCCCTAAACGAACGAAAAACGCAGCAAAAAAAAAGGGGTGGAATATGGCGAGAGCAAAACGCAAAACGACGAACGCGTTGCAGGGATGCAATGAAAAAGAGTATTGCAGAATGCAAAATGAAGTGGACGAGAGGAGAGAAACAGTTTCAGCTTTACTACGTGCAACCGACCAACGTTTATTATTAATTCATCGCATGTATTGATTTCTTTTTTTCGTCGCAATTGTCGCAAGTTTTATTCATTTCCTTAAGTTCGTAAAGTTTCAGTCAGTTTAACTTTGTTTAGGTTTGGCCTCGATTTTCTTCTTTAGTTAGAATGTTCAATGTTAATTATGAGAAACATAATCTCGATTTTCGGAGATTAATAAATCTATTTTTCAACCGCAAATTACAGAAAATTTGTAAGATTTACAAATACTACAGATGACACGTTCAAAAGCCTAAATATTTATCTTTACTTGGAGTACTCAATGATATTTGTGTCGTGTACAGTTATTGAGAAACGTTAAGATTTATGACGACACTCAAGGATCAAGACGTAAAAACTTTGATCGTAAATTACGGAAAATCTGTAAAAGCTACAAATATCGCAGCTGGCACATTGAATAGTCTAAATATTTATCTTTTATTTAAGTACTCAATCGTAATTGTGTCGTGTATAGTCATTGAGAAATATGAAGATTTCTAAAGATATTCGAGACTAAAAAAAAATAAATTTAATTAGATGAGATTTTTATTTATCATATTTATGATTATATAATAATTTAAATGTTTTTTTTTTGGTAATTTGCTGATTCATGAATGTTTACTAAGAAATATCAATTTACAAACAGAATTGTTTACTAAGAAATTTTCGTTTCTTCGACTGCTTCAACCTTGTACCAAATTCGCATTGAAATATTTCGTTCCAATTTGAATACACAAGAGTTCTTAATCCAATCATATACAATTCTTTGAATTCTTCAAATTGCATAGAAATGTAATTACTATAGATTTCTTCGTAATTAATAGAAATAGTGAAATTATCTGAATTTTTTGTTCATTTTTTGTACAATGAATAAAACAAAAATGGAATACATCGTTTCCTTGGAGATGGAAACGTCAGCAGTTTTTATTATTGTAAAATAGAGATGGAGTCACCGGTGGTTCGTTCGCCCTTCCTCAATGCAATCTTCCGTGGAGAACGGTCAGGATTAACCCCGTTATAGCGTTGTTTCCGCGGGCAAAAGTCGCATATCGTCGGTGCAACGAACCCTCCTTCTTTCTTTCTTGTTCCATTATCGAGAATGGGATGTAAAAAGAAAACGAAATGTAATATAAACTGAAGATGAGAACTGAACAAAACGCAAAAAATATATAAATAAAAATGAAACTATTTGCTTGCAGGTACATAAAACTGTATTGAGCACTATCCTGCAGGACCATTCGCAGGATGTTGCACTCCTCTTCTGCAGATACAGTTTGTTAAACTAAGAAGTTTATGTTTTGAAGTAAACTTAGGTAAACGAGCTTTTATATAGTTAAATGGTTTCGTGTAAACAAAAATATTGAATTGCGAATCTAAACTTGCGCAATTTAAGTATTGTCTATTTTCAGTGCAAATACAAATGAAATTTAAAGAAAACTAATTATGTTTAATTGTTTTATTTTATTGAAAATTTATTATTATTTCAGTAACTGAAGGATTCTTCAATTGACAACTGTCATCTTTGATAGGTTATATTTAGTGATCTGTCATTTGTGAATTGACATTTTGAATTATTGCCAATTGTAAAGAAATAAACTTCTATAACAAACACAGTGAACTTAGTAAATAATGAAGCTGTCAATTGCAAGGTTATGTTTAGACATCTGTCATTTTTATATATAATGACAATTGCAGTAACAGTAAACATTCAACACAAACTGTCAATTGTTAGGTTATGTTTAGACATTTGTCATTTTTGAATAGACAGTTTAATTTATATAGTGTCAAGTGTAAAAAAACAATAAACTTTTATCGTAAACATAGAAGTGTACATATTAAATAATGAAGCTGGAATTTGTTAGGTTATGTTTAGATATCTGTTGATTCATCTGTCATTTGTGAATTGACAGTTTGAAGTATTGCCAATTGTAAAGAAATAAACTTTTATAACAAACTCAGTGTACTTAGTAAATAATGAAGCTGTCAATTGCAAGATTATGTTTAGACATCTGTCATTTTTGAACTGACAGTTTGAATTATATAATGACAATTGCAGTGATAGTAAACATTCAACAGAAACTGTCAATTGTTAGGTTATGTTTAGACATTTGTCATTTTTGAATAGACAGTTTGATTTATATAGTGTCGAGTGTAAAAAAAAAACAATAAACTTTTATCGCAAACTTAGTTGTGAACATATTAAATAATGAAGTTGGAATTTGTTAGGTTATTTTTAGATATCTGTTGATTCATCTGTCATTTGTGAATTGACAGTTTGAAGTGTTGCCAATTGTAAAGAATAAAACTTCTATAACAAACTCAGTATACTTAGTAAATAATGAAGCTGACAATTGCAAGGTTATGTTTAGACATCTGTCATTTTTGAACTGACAGTTTGGATTATATAATGACAATTGCAGTAACAGTAAACATTCAACACAAACTGTCAATTGTTAGGTTATGTTTAGACATTTGTCATTTTTGAATTGACAGTTTGATTTATATAGTCTCGAATGTAAAAAAAAACAATAAACTTTTATCGCAAACTTAGAAGTGTACATATTAAATAATGAAGCTGGAATTTGTTAGGTTATGTTTAGATATCTGTTGATTCATCTGTCATTTGTGAATTGACAGTTTGAAGTATTGCCAATTGTAAAGAAATAAACTTTTATAACAAACTCAGTGTACTTAGTAAATAATGAAGCTGTCAATTGCAAGATTATGTTTAGACATCTGTCATTTTTGAACTGACAGTGTGAATTATATAATGACAATTGCAGTAACAGTAAACATTCAACAAAAACTGACAATTGTTAGGTTATGTTTAGACATCTGTAATTTTTTAATTATAGTATTTAGCAGGAATAAATGGTTCAATCATGCGATTAAGTGGAGATGGGATTTTCGAGTGGCTGTTGGGAAAGTGTCCTCTCGAGTGTGTGTGGATGTGTGTGAAAAGCCTCGAGCGACGAGGGGGAGGATTTTCTAAAGAAATAACCAGTGCAAAAGAGCATTCAGAATCTCGGAGAGAAAGCCTCATCCTCGATCCGAATGCGATATTGTCTTCGATCCGTTTCTTCCACGTCGACGGTATTCGAACTCGCTCGCGAAATGAATTCGAAATGAAACGTCCGTTTGTCCTTCGACTCTGTTGCTTTTTTTTGTACCTCCTCACAAAGGGAGGAAGAGGATGATGTTGTTGATGTTTGACGTTGCGGTCCAGAAACCGGATGTCGTCTATAAATAGATTTCAA